ACACAGCATTAGTTTATATCAGTAATGTTAATTCAGTCTGATGATGCTCTGTTTTACGACGTTTCACAAGTCAGTTGACCGCTGATTGATTGGTCATTCAGAGGTCATTTTTGAGGTCTTCATAGGCTTCGTGGATAGCATTACACTACAGCGTGGTTTATCTGCCATGTGCTGAATCGAACAATTATCTGACAGCATAAACTGCACAGTTTTAACTGCTTATATATGGACATCCACCTTTCACAACCAATGGAACAATGTCTACGAGATACCAGTTTTGTTTAGTGTGAAAAGCTAGACAAAACGTTTGAATTAGCGAAGGTAGTTTATCAGGTGATTTAGCTATACCGTAGTATCAACCTATATCATTATGCTGTAGTTGCGCGGTGGCACACTGCTTAAGAGGTCTGTTATGAATTCCGGAGGAGGCAAGTTAGATTCCGCTGGAGGGCGATCCTTGTCTCAATCAGTCTCTCCGAAAACCTTCGAGAAAAGTATTCATCTCATGTTGATTCACACCGGGTTTGCTGGGTTGATACAGGGTCAGACTAAAATTTGGAAGGCCCGAGTTCGACCTCAAATCAACTTTGGTCGCACTGTGTTTTTCCGAGGTTGATAAATGAGTTTCAGCGTGTGAAAAGGAAACAGAAGCCTATACGCTACGTTTCACACAAGGATGTACGATTTACTTTTCAACTATGACTGCTCCTGGCTGCTGGCGTAGAAGCGGAGATAATCAACCTCATGAAAAGGACGCCAAAATAACCTCGGTCGTGAAAGTCAAAGGAATACGGTCACTCCAATTGTTAAAAACTTTCGTTCCTCCCTCAGCTCCATGCCCCGTTGTTCCAATAGCTCCTGTAACTGATTGAATATCCTTGGTATTACTATTGGTACACCTGACCTACACAAAGGTCATAAAATACATGGCGAAACGTCGCTTACTGGGTTTTGTCTGGCATAGGCATTTTCCTAAATTTTTCAATATGCATGAGCAGAAATTACACTCTGAACTTTTTTCCCGGTCGACTGATTTACAGCAAGTTGTTCAACTGAAATTCTTGTAGACGCCATGAGATCCGTTCCAACGATCAGATTCTGTGTGGCCTCTGAAAACTCAGCCGAACTTTATTCCATCGATTTCTTACGGCGTCAGTCCCAAACTCTCACTTCTATACAAAAACTGAAAAGCCTGCGTATTTCAGCTACATTCACTGGGCTCGCTTTAAATTTTCAATTCACCTAGCTGAGGAGGGGACACAATATATTTGCAATCAACATAGTTATTGAATGAAAAATACATTATACCAAGGTCATGAGTCTTTGAATGCTAGCTTTTGGGGCAGTGAAGTTTAATAACAACTTTCGAAAACCATTACTTATCTATGCTTGAAGGGATACATGCAGATTTTGTCGACTTATAAGTCAAATGTGGCTAAAGATAAAAATTTCTATGGACGTGAACCAACATCAAGCTCTTTGTGCGTCTAATCAAGAGCTTCTGACCTTGTACTTCAACCATTTCTTCAAACACACATGAACACATTTAATTACGGTAATCACCATAAGCAGTTGCCATGTAGAAAAACAGACATCAGGCTGGTGCAACAAGTTTGTAATTCAGGTACCTATTTCGATTACTTGCTTTCGGTACTTTAAAGAGAGACTCAAAACTGATCTACCGCATCCTTTCCAGATCCACGACTTCAAAAGTCTAATGTCCGTTCCTATTGTGGCACTCTATGGGTTTCACAAGCAGTTAGTAAAATGCGAAGGTGAGGCTTCACAACGGAATGTGACAAGACTATGAAATGCCTAGTATAAACGAGAAAATGGATAAACGTAGCATACGTTAGCGTAGTTACAAAGTACAAAATAACTTTTGTAAGTATGATACAAAAATTATGTCAGACATAATTAATACGGAAGGTCAACAGTCGACTGCACTCTTGAACATATTGAAGCTTTTAGTATGCGATAATCAACGCGCATAACAGGTGCCAAATCTGAATGGCTAATCTCTGTGGAATGGACCAGTGACTACTGGTTCATACCTTGCCAGAAATTAGAATGTGCAACAATTCTAGTTCGAACAGCAACTGCAGTTTGCCCTCGTACAACATCACGGTAAACCGGCTTTCTACAACCAACGAGGCTTCAGGCGGTCAGGTAAATGCTAAGGGAGATATGTTCCCAATTTTAATAACTTGCTCTCTGCTTAGCTTCCTGAGGAAATTGCGTCCCTTTTTCAGGAGACAGAGCTACAACACTGAATATCTTAAAAAGCAATGGCTCAAATCTTCAGCGCCTTCCAACACTGCAGTGTT